GATACAGTATCGGGAAATGAAATATCGCAATATTTCAGTGTATCGATGTTTTCTTATAACCCTAATCACAACACAACTCACAATATCTCACGATACACTGCGAGGCCATATGTCACTCATTATAAAAAGCAAACAATTCATTGCATCCATCAAATCTGATTAAATTCAGTTTATTTTTATGCAATTAAAAGAAATCTGAACATTTATCCATTAAGGCTGAATTAAAAATTGATCAGCAAATTAAATATCGTGATATTTCAGTGTATCAGTACTTTCTTACACTCCTAGTATTTTCTTCTTTTTTGTCTAATTTTAAAAAAATAGATTTGTACAATATGTTGTCACAATAAGAGTGAGCTCACACTGCAATGAATAAAAAAAGTTAAATTTTAAATATTGTGTGTTTATGTTCTGTATTAGTCTTGATGTCTTCGGCTGGTTTGGATGACTGGAGATAAATGACATCATCGGTGCAATATTAGACAATACTGGTCTTTAAATCATGTAGGTTTTTTTTTCTTCTGAACGGAGCTGCTTAAATCAGACTCAAATGATTTAAGAGGTTAAAACAAAATCTGAAAAATAACTTTAAAAAAATGAAAAGATTGGTTTAAAATCAGTGAATAGAGTTTATTTAATGGCCGATGYTGGTCTTTTTTTATGTAAAAGTTGAATAACAATTGCTTAACTGAAAGGAACGCATATTTAACAATACGTAGAGGAAATTTTACGCATAAAAATAGTACATAAAAGAGATTTTTACCTTCAGTGAGCGATGTCAGCGGATTAATCTGTTTATCAGTGAAATAATCAATCATGATGAAGACACTAAAATGATCAATAAACTGTTTGAATTTAGAAAATATTTGGTAAAAATTAAAGATGCAAAAATATCTGTATGGAACCGTTCAGTACACAATATATTTGGAAAAATACAGATTTTTAAAATTTATTTTATCAACTTGTCTTCTGAAGATGCTCTGTGTTGAAGGATCAGTGGATCTGTGTTCGACTACTCCACCTAGGCTGTGTTGTGGAGCACAGATCCACTGAGAAACTTGCTGTTTCAGCAATATTTAATAACTGTACATTTGAGGTTAAACAAATGTTCATAAATAATTTCTATAAATTAAAAATTAAAAAGCGCATGAACATCTCTCTTTTTATGTACAAAAATAATTATATTGAAGCGAACCATGGTTCTTTCCGTATCATTGCACCAATTAACTGGATTTTTAAATGTTTTTTTTTGTTTGTGTTTTTAAGAAATAAACAAGCAAAGATAGAACTAATAATCTGCCACTTATTGAAAAATCAGCATTCAGCTGCTTGTTAGCGGTGTAAGATACACTGAAATATCGCGATATTTATTTTCCTGATATGGAATCGATTTTTAATTGAGACTTAAAGGATGAATGTTACATAAAACTAAACTGAATTTAATCTGATTTTATTCATAAAACTCACAATGTGTTTTTTATACTGAGTTTTTAAATTAAACTCCATTTGGAGTAAAAAATGGCGATATATCGTCTTGCTTACAGTATCGTGATATATCATGATGTATCGTATCGACCTGTATCATATCAGCAAATTCTTGCCACTACACAACCCCACTCTTTGTGCCTTTTTAATCAACTCCAGCAGTTACTGAAACCATCTTATTGTTGCCCAGGTTTGATCTTGWTTTATAATTTCTGTGTTCAGCTGAAAACCCTCAGTCTTGGTGATGAGGTTTGATTGACGGCTTCAGAACGATGACATCAGCGTTCAGACTTTCTGATTCGTTTCATTTGATTTCAGAGCAACACATATGAGCTCCCAGTCGTTAAGAGACGGTGTACTGAACGCTGTTGGGCGTGGGAAGAAACAAACAAAAAAAAAGGACCTTATTAGGAAGTCGTTAAGCACACATACCAGAGAAAGTGAATTTGCTGCCCAGAGACGACTCAGGCAGGGCTGGGCTGCCCCACCTCACATTTCAAAAACAGACAAGCACAACCTTTTCCATTACGACCTCTCGTTTCTGACCTCGGAGCAACAAAACCCTCGGCTCTACGAGCCCAAATATCGCAGCCATGTGATAATATTTCTTGTGCCGCCGCAGGGGARCAAACACTGGGAAGGTGTGTCGTCCTTGGCGCGCTTTGAAGTACACGAGGATCTCTGGCGGCTCGCTCCCCACGTTTCTGCCTGCGCCTCTTTCACGTCCTGTCGTGGCAAGTTTTCATACGGCTAACGAGGGAWAGGGAGCGAGTCCCCCCCGGAGGTAAGGCGGGGGACATGCTGACAGCTGCAGCTCTGTGCGAAGAGGGAGAAAACAATAACAAGCGGCTCRTGTTTAAAAACCGCCCGTCGAGTGAAGCGTCAGATCTGAGGTGACAGACCAGCTTCTCGAGGTTCATCGGGGGGGTTGCGGCGGTAAAAAATAAACGCACCACCTGCATGTTTTAGTGGCTGCATGAGTGGGCGTTCACTCCACTGCGGGCCGACCTGTTAGCCCCACTGATCCGACAGATCCGAGGCCGTTTGGCTGCAGAAAACTGAAAAAAATGCACCAGTTTACAGTAAACATGGAGGGTTTTCTGCACCAGTCCCTCACATGGTTGTGGGGGGGATTCTGGCCCACTCTTACCATCGTTTCAGTTCATTGAGGTTTCTGGACTTCGGACCCACTCAGTTGCAGCTCAGTTTTTGTGTTTGTGACCCAGTTTGGTCCAAACTTTGTCRGACAGATGGTTTGACTCTAGAACCCTTTGGTCCACATCAGATCTCCACCTCCGTGCTCTTACCGTGTTGGTTTTCTCCAAACGTGGAGCTGTGCATTATGGGTAAACATCTTGAGTTTGGGTCCCACCGGTCCAGAGGTCTCGTGGTTCCAAACAAACCAAACTTGAGTCTTTTTTTTCTCCACCTTTAACCTGCTGAGRCYTGTAGAGTCTGAGGTGGAGCTCGTTTCTCTGAGCATTGCACGGTCTGACCTTCAGGGGGAATTTGCTGAAAGTCCTTTCTTGGAAAGATTAAATGTAGGGCTGTCAAATTATTAATATTTTTAATCTGATTAATCCCAAAGTAGCTGTGAATTAATCATGATTAATCTTAAATTTACTATTCATTTCTATTGCATATTGATAAAATAAATTACATGAGTTATTAATTAGTTTTTAATGTTTTTATTCAGAAAACAAAATTGATGTTTGGACTAGAGCTGGGCGGTATGACCCAAATTTTCTTTCACGGTATTTTCAACAGTTACACCAGTTTCACGGTTTTTGACGGTATTTTTTTCCTCACAGCTCAGCTGATAATGAAATGTACAAACTTTGCTTATTGACTTTTTTCTGTTACTGTACCTCTGTATGACTGTTTCCCTCCTCTTGTACGTCTTTTCTTCTTTGGTTGTAGACAGTAATCATGCATTTAGGTCCGATCATGAAGGGTTGAGAAAAAAATCATTATCTGGTCTATCGTTATGTGTTAATAAAACTTAAAAGGACGACTCACCTTGCACACCAGTCAACTCCGCTACATTACAAAACTACTTCCCCCAGGGATTTTCACAATAGAAGCACGCTAGAGTCTCCATGCAATAACGTCTCCATTATAACGTAGCGCGTTCAATCTAACCGTGCACGTCACTGAAGAGGTGTTTACTATTCAGCGATGGTAAAAACGGGATGTTTTTTTTTACGTCAGACCATATAAGCGGCTGAAACACACCACCCGCCGCCAGTTGTTCCAACAATAACGTTAGCATGCTAATACGCTTAGCGGTGCTGCAAGGAAACGTGTCCCTGGGGAAACAGCTCACTGGCGGCCGCAGCGAAACGTTCCGCACGTGTTCAGTTTATACCGGTATTCAGAAAAGTCATATCATAACAAAAATAAAAACCAGTTTTTGGTACAAAACGGTATACCACCCAGCACTAGTTTGGACATGATTTTTTGAATATAAAACAGGACCTAAAAATGCTCCAAATATATTTGAGTCTTAAATTTTGTGCAGAATAATGAGGTTAAATCAAGAATTCAAGGATTTTCATTTCAAATGAAGTACTACATGAGGAATGAAAGATAGATACTAAGGTCACAGTTGTCAGCAAAACATAAATAAATAAAATAAAATTAGCCATAAGAAGACAAAAAGAAAAAAAAA